TGAAGCTTTCGCCAAATTCCACAATGCGGCCATTCTCCCTGTGACCTGTCCCAGGCCAGAAAATGCGCTGGCCCTCCAATATTACGTCTGCAGGTGTGGGAAGGTGCCATTGGAACTGAAATCTCAGGATATCTGGCAGTGAAATGGTCTGGATGTGTGTGTGTCTGTGTGTGTGGGAGAGAGAGATCGAGGTGCACAGCTGGCCTGTAGGCGTGCCTGCACGAGAGCGTGCGAGACAGAGCTGTGCATGAAGCCCTGACTCATGGTGAACAGTCAGAACTAGGACGACAGTGATGGTCATGGCGGTGATGTGGCAGGTGTTACCTCAGCTCTGGGAGCATTAAATCCCCCCTCTAACTCGCAGGCAGGGAAGAAGAGCCCTTTCCTTTTGATATGCCTTCCCGTTTGTGAAATAATCATCACTCAGCTCTTTCTGTTTTGGCCCAGCGCAGATGACGCCGATATAATCCCATCTGCACTAAATGAATTTGTCCTGGCACCATTCCATAATTGAGATATTGTATTAAGTCTAAAACGAGGGGCACCTTGGGAAAATGAACAGCTGTGAAGGTATCTAAACACGTCGCCGGAAGACGCGGCCTTGAAGCCCGAATGCCTCAATCACACGGTTGATCGTTTCATGCGAATGGTAGCTTTGTACTCTATACGGGACCCACTGGCATGTCCTGCAGATCTGAGATGGATGTGTTGAGATCTCCGGGGCTGCGTTCGTGCTCAGGAAGGCCTGCCATAGAAGTGGCAAAATGTGCATGGCTTGTCTTTGGTATCTGCAGTCCTAAATATTAAGCTAGTGTTGGAATGCTGTAGTAGGTACAGGGAGAGGATACCGGCTGGGCCGTATGGCCACGTGACTGGATTCCTCCTCCGTTGTCTTGCTCCAGAGACCACGTTCCACTTTCATTTACGACATCGTTGCCATGCGGTGCAGGACGCTGGAACGCCGTGTCCATCGTCACATTGTCAGCAGTGTGATTTCCCTTTCGGGCACCGTACAGCTTGATGCATTCTGGACTAATGCTGACATCATACTAAACAGCAGCTTTCCTGTTAACAAATTTTACCCAGCACACGTTGGTGGAAATTCATGCGCAGACCAACATGCACATTCAGAAATATTAAGGATGCTTTTCAGGTCCATGATGTTTTAGGCCTGCAGGAACCATACCTCAGTAAGAAGTTGTGTATTTGACCATTTCTGAAGTATTTTTCTGAGAAACAACTTATGAAAGAGCTATGTGGAGTTAATGAGTGTGAATAAGAAAATGGAAAATTTCCTGCAACATCTGGGACTGTGTAAGATTTGCACCCTTGGTGAGTGAGAGTGTTTTACTCCATTAGTGAAGCCCGTGGAAGTGGGAAGAATCTCTGTAGTCATCAGAACAGCAGCTCCTATGCTATTGCTTGATATTTGTCTCTTCCTCTGCTCTCTCCCTCCGTTTCCTCCTCTGCTCTCTCCCTCCGTTTCCTCCTCTTCTCTCTCCCTGTTTCTTCCCCTCCTCTGAAGGCCCACAGCACTTTCTGTATTTCATCTCTCTCTGAACCAGTTTTTAATTTAGTGCCCTTTCATTAGCATATTTATTCATTTATCCCCCTGACAGATGCTGTGATCCCTCACCTTGGCTTTCTTGGTCCAGAAAGACTTCCACCGCTTGTCGTTTGAATGCCTGACGTTTCATGTCATAGGGCACAGTTCCACCCTGTTTTGGAGCTATTAGCTGTTTGCTTTTCAATGGGCCGTTACCATTTTATAGAACTAATAGCGATAAGTGGGGCGGCTTGCGGGCCGTTACCGTCTTATAGAGCTAATGCCGATAAGTGCGGCGGCTTGCGGGCCGTTACCGTCTTATAGAGCTAATGGCGATAAGTGCGGCAGCTTGCGGGCCCTTACCGTCTTATAA